GGTTTTGCTTTGTTATTTAAATTTGTCAATCCTGCTGAGGATTAAAGAACAATAGCCTTAATTTGCACAAGAAAACAACAAGCTCAAGGATTCTGGTAGTTGTAGTAAAATGACGTCATCGTGCAATTGTCCTATTGATGAAATTCACATTTAATGCAAATTAGGTTCGGTACATTTTATTCATCATATTTGACATACGTATCTCGTGGAATAGTTTCCTCGCGGTAATGCGGGCGCATTTCTTTACGTTCATTATCCAAAATGCTCCAAAAAATGCTCCAAAATTCTTGGTTTTTAGACAGTTTTGATGGACATGGGTTGAAAAGAATATGCCAGCAAGATAATCGACTACTCAAATCAGTGAAAGCGTAAATATGATAGAAAGGTCAGTCTTTAAAACGTCCGTGAATAAGGATTTATTGTCGGTGACTTACAATATTTTAAGCTTTTTGGACATTTAAACATATGCAGTAAACACATTTCATTTAGTGGGCTTATTTTTTGTCACATAAGGGCTATTACATTAAAACATTAATACCCCAGGGATTAAATAAATTTTCTTCAGATGATGATAATATGGAATTGTGAAAAAGGTATGCCAGAAACTAATCCTGTCAGACATTTCAATAACAAATTGATAACATATTGCATTAATATACTGAACTGATAATTTTAATTTTTAAAATTAACTGCTTAACTGTTTCATGCATATCTAGTTCAGGAGTGTCTCATAAACTAGAACTTAATAGCCTGTGTACAGACTTCCCTCCTCCCTCAGAAAAAATCGGGAGAAGAGACGTCTGTGAATCGCCGACGATTTTTTGTCCCCAAAATGTTGGGGACAGCCTCTGATTGGTTGTAATGTTAATGCCATGACGCAAATAATTTCTGGTGTTGCGATTGGTGAATGAATTTCGGAATAGATTCCCCGGGGAAAAACTCAGCCTTTGTGGACAGCTTACCGCATTTATATTTGTTTACTTGGATTTCGGCTCTCTGGAATAAGCATGTGAAATTTCGAATTTGTGAATTTCGGCTCTCTGGAATAAGCCTGTTTGCTGCACTGGTTGCGGGTGGACGTACAGAAATCAACGCTTAATCAGAGATCTTATTTCTGGATTTTAGAGTGGACATTGCGTGAAGATGTTCGGCTAGCCTGTGTACAGACGCCAGGGCTATTTTTTGGCCTACATGTGCCGGTCATGACTCATAGAATTAGGCAAAAGTAAGGCTATTGTAGTTTCTTGCTAAAGAGAAGTGAACGATCCTTTACATGAAACCTACTCAACATCCTCGAATGGATCAACTCCTGCATAAAACGCTTGACAGGAAATGTAACAGTGCTTCTGACATCAAAATTCTGTCAAACCAAAAACCACATGTAATCTATGTACAGTAACAGACAGACTTAATGAGCTAAAAAAAATTTAAGAAAACTTCAAAAGCATGAAATACTTGTTTTAAAAGACATTTAAGCTAGATATTCTAGTTAGAGCCTAGCTTAACAATAAATGTTGAGAACATCCAAGAGAATAACTGCGTACGTGCTCTAAAAGAGTCCCGAGTTGTGTTGGTCTGTCAACACCTTTTCAACTGTCAGATGAAACAACAACAAAAAATAATTTATGCAAACGTACCCAGGAACAAGATTAACGACGGCTATTCACATACGTCTCTTCCCCCGATTTTTTCTGAGGGAGGGGGGACGTCTGTACACAAGCTCTGAGAACTTAACAGCTTTAAAATAATGAAGCAATTTTTAAAATTAATTAATTAATTAATTAATCAGTTGACTATTATGTAATTTTAATGTTTCTTCTTTGATTTTTTCACTTTTGCTGATAAAGACCATGGTAGGAAATTTTTTTTGTTGTTGCACTAGAGTATAAAATATTATTCTATTTACTTTGCTTTTCATTCAGGTATGAAACTTGAAAAGGAACATTCCAATACATTAAAGCTGGATGGCAAACAAACCAGATATACTGACATTGTCATTCGTCCTTTTGAGTCATGTGATTCCGATGTGGTTCGTAACATCTTTGCTGAAAGCATGGGAGAAATGCGCAGTCCCCTAGTCCGAGATGTCATGTACCAAGCCATTGTTTATGGATTATATTTATCATTACCAGCAGCAGTGCTAAGTGTTGTATGGTTTTCTTGGTTTTTAGCACTGTATTTTATCATTCTCATTTTCATTTTGATTGTTTTGTTTGCTGTGTTACACATTGGTTTCTCAAGGTACATTCAACAATGTTTAGACACTGATCTAGGAGACATAGAAAATACATATTTCCAGCAAAAGATGTCGCACTTGTGGGTTGCAGAGTGCAACCAAATAGTAATCGGTATGGTAGCTCTCGTTCCCGATACCGACCACGAAGGATGCTTTGGAAAGTCTGGGGAAGTTGTCGGAAGGCTTCGGAGAATGGCTGTTTTACCAGAATTCCGTAGATTAGGTGTCGCCAAACAACTTCTTGACACACTTCTGTCTTATGCGAAGCAAGTTGGGTATAAACAAATTGTTTTGCTGACAACCAGTGCTCAAGAAGCCGCTATTAAATTTTACACAAAGCACAACTTCCAACTGGTATCAAAGAGACTCGCCAACAGAGCAATGAGAGGATTTTACCATTTTGATTATTCTTATGACCTTGAAAGATGGAAATAAAATAAAGTATTATACATAATAAACATCATGATTTATTCTAAAAATTCCTAAAGGTGGGCTGTTACAGTCACATACCGAGAGGTTTTTCAACCAGCTGTTGTTCAATGACCCCATATTATTGCCAATTCATGGAAAAAGAATTCAAAAACAACACTGCAGCCACCATAGAGTGAAACACTGATTATACAGCTCAATGGAGTTGGGTGTTTTCCTAAGGGGTATGAGCTAGAGAAACCTGTTAACATACTCAGACTTTACACAGCAGCTTAGTGAATTTATTGGCCAGCAAGTGAAGTGTTTGTGTGATGTTTAAAAGAGAGTAAAAACGTGTTTGAAAAATAAATATAATATATATACTGGAATAAAGTGGATGAATGCCTAAGGTACCCTCATTTCTAAGTGTTTCACCCCACATTAGGGCATCGGAATACCAGAATCCAGGAAGTTTTTGCTTTGGAATCTGGAATTCCCATAATCCGGAATCCCGGCTTTTTGTAATCAAAAATACTTCTTAACAAATCCGGAATCCCAATAATGATTGAAATCCAAGATCCACTGGCAAAGAATCTGTAATTTAGTACCTGGAATCTGGAATCATCAGCATGGAATCCAGAATCAAAGAGTGTCTTGGATTCCCTTACATTGGGTGAAGTGTAAAATAAGGGAAACAGCTGGTGTTGGAGACAAATATAATTCACCGTTTTATATTTGTTTTCTTTATTTATTTTTTTCTATCACCCTTCCCGCTTTAAGGATCAGTTCACTGGTATAAATTTAAGGATTTTACTGATTCAGGTCTACTAAAGATCCGGCTCATGAGTCATTGGTTTGTGGATATGGTTTTGCCTTCACAACTGTTTCTGATGCTTGTTAGAGAGGGGGTGGGGGGCTTAGATTTGCCGTAAGATTTTCAAAGTTTAGAAGAGAAGAAATATGCCGATCTCAAACTGCCTTGTCCCTGATTGCACGTGATTACTTTTTGGGGGATATTTGAGTTGATAGGCCACTTTCGAGTTCCAAAAGCCCTCACTTTCAAAATGAGGCCAAGTGCACAACCTTTCTTGTGAAAATGTAGCTTGCGTAGCAGGCGCTTGGAAGTAGTGGGCGCGGGCGAAAGAGAGAGCGGGCGCGCGCGCGAGGAAGACTCGCGTGTCTCCTTCTCGCGCGCCCGTTTTTTCTTGTGCCCACTACTTCCAAGCGCCTGCTACACAGGCTAGTGAAAAAGAGCTTTATATGCATGAGCATGAAAAATCATTTTGAGTACTTAACCTCGTTTCTCTTACAGAGGCTCGGGGGAACTCGGTAATGGCCTATTATAAAGGCTCTACATAGTCTTCCTTGCAGCCGTTTTTGTCTCGTCACGCAAGAGGCGGAGCGTTTCGTGACGAGACAAAAACGGCTGGGAGGTAGACTTAGACTGCGAGCAGTCTCTCTTTTTCTTCAGATTTAGTAAGGGGAGTGCACGCGCGCGCGAGCGGCAAAGCTGCGAGACGCCATTTGCGTGTCTCGCGTTTTGCTCGACGGTCTACAGAAAAAAGAGAGACTCCTCGTAGTCTAAGGTAGATTAGGCTATGCCAGTATGCGCCCATTCCCATCATCATCTCCCTCTCGCGTTACTTGCTTGTCTCCAGCTCTTACGCTTCTCGCTTGCTCCATGCTCCCACCCTAATGCCTGTGGAGGACGCAGCCATTTCCTTTCGATCAATATCGGCACTCTGACAAGTACGCGCGCGCGCGCGTTTAGCTAGAACTCGCGCGTGGCAAATGTCAGCAGAAAAGAATGTAGACATACTTGGGTGGTACTGATAATCTTCCAAAACATCCCAAATCAGATTACGCACCGATTACACAAATTCGCAAGGGTGAACCATTTATCAATCACGATCTGTAGCCTTTCAGCTGTTTGCACTAATGACACTAACTGCACAGCTCAAAATCGACAAAAACTTTAAGAAAAATAAAATTAAATAAATGAAAAATAGATTTCCAGATGATAAAATGGTAAGGTAACAATAGTCCTGAATCGAAGTGGCAGTTAATAGGTCTTGAATTTTACAGTCAATTCATAAGGAGAGGGCCGGTTCTCTTTTATGAAAAGTCAGATAGCGGTCGCGGATAGCATGCTCGCGAATATGCTTGTCGTTCTCGTTGAATATTGAAGTTATGCATGCAAAAGGGCTCTATCGGAAGTTGATGTCATCTTAAAACAGAGGTTAAACGCGTATTTATTGATTCAGCTGTTTGGCAGGATGTAGTTACGGAATGCAATTTAATCTGTTTATAAATGTATCACTTACATAACAGTTGCTGTATCGCAAAATCGAAAGTCATGAACGCTCGTTTTAGACAAATTCCTTCACAAACGGCCGCAATGAATGGAAAGAACAACTCCTGTTCTCTGTGCTACGGGTTCATATTCAATCTATTGGTTGCCCTGTGCACCATTGGCTTCTTGTGCTATTTTTTGTACCGTTTCGACGCAAGGTTGGTCTCGCTGGAACGAAAATTATGGAACAAGGAACATGGCGATGGCAGTTTAAGTAAAAAGGAGAAAATAGGGAGTTATGGCCAAGCACGTCATCACAACCAGGCCATCCTTATGCGAAAAGCAAGGACCGGCGGCAAGGTACGTCTTTCGGAAGCAAAACAGCTGAAAAAGTTGATTATTGAAGAACAATCAAGGACGTGATCTAACAAGTCTCAATCTTGGGAAATATCAGGTCAAGTTCGTCAGTCTCACTCCAAGGAGTTCATGAATACTTACGGGTCTCATACAGTACAATTCACGTCCTCCTGGGGATGCGTTTGCCGGTGAAAGGACAAACGCCAGAACCGCGCGTGTGACGCGCGTGGTAACTCAAAGAACCGGCGGCAAAAACGCTACAAAGCCATCAAACTTTTAGTTCATCTTTAGCGGGATGATGATAACTTGATATCAAGCTATTTAGGATATGTTTTATAAAATTTCACTGTTCAACTGGTAAAGCTATTCACGGCGGTGCAGACCGGATTGATTTTTGTTGTGGCAAAATGCTGCAGAAAACGCAAGTAAAACAAAATATTGTACCCTGCAACGAAATATTCATCTTTTAGTTTATAGCTGTACATATTTCTATGTCTTTCGTCACTGTTTCGTTCCTCATTCCCAGCTCCCCTCTTAATTAAAACCGAAATAATCGATTACGAGCCAGATATCCTGTAGTGGTCTCAGTGTGGTCTTGGGTTCTTCCTCGGGGGCGGCCGTTTGCTTTTAATCACCTGGAGACTTTGGTTTGGTTTTAGTTTGATTATTTCACTTCGTAGTTACAAAGAAACGTTTTGCCGTGGCCCACACAATGTAAATAACTTTGAGTAAAGTGGACGAGTGTTCTGAAATTGCTCTGTTTGAAAAGACATTTGTAATTTTTGCAATGAAATCGATGATGTATTTACGGAGGTTTTCGTTAATATAATTATATTTGCAAGCAGCAATAGTGAAATAATTGATGGATTGTGATTAAGCAGTTGCGCGCGCCTTCTTGCACGCGCTTGAGGGTGAGCGTACACGTTTGCTCGTTTGAATGTAACAACGTATTGTAACAACTTTAGCCAAACTGAAGAGGTTTGAATAAACGAAACTTGTCTTAAGGCTAAAATAAAGGCTAGTGCGTGAAGGACTATTCGTAAAACTCAGTACAGTTGTTATGAGAATTAATTATAAGTCACCACCCTAAAACTAAATTGCCAAGACTTTAGTTTCAGGTGAGAGCGTTTTATCGCTCGCCATTTGAAAAAGTTTTCGGTTGGATGAAACAGTTTGTTTTGCGATAGAGCACTTTTGAAAGGTACCATGTCACGAGGAGTTGCTTTTTTAGGTCAATTCTCTGCTGAAGACATTCCTTAGTGCCTTCACCCATTCAGAAATAGCCTGCGTAGATGGCGGTATTGTGTGGGTGCGAGATTAAAGTTTTGGCGGCGGAGCCGTGTTCCAAAAAAAGGGAGTAGGTTTGAAACGGTACTATGTAACGAGGAGCTGCTTTTTTTAGGTCAGTTCTCTGCTGAAAACATTTCTTAGTGCCTTCACCCATTCAGAAAATGTCCCTGTAGGTCTATGAATACAAATTTCATCGGAGAGCACTAATCGTAATAATCTTTCTTGGTGAAATCTGAAGGCACAGCTACCTTAAAACTTTGAAAAGGTTGGTTGATGTCTTGCAAATTATAATTTTCACAAAGTGCGACCAGCTTTGCAGATTTTATTATGACATTCTTTATTTTGGTTTTCAGTTTCTATTAATACCATTGTGTTGGCAAAGAAGAGTGAAAGATGAAAAGCCTGTTGTTTATCGTGGTTCTTAGTCTCCTGGCTGTGGGTTATGCCAGGGACCAGGAAGCAGAACTTGCAATCCGAGGAGGCAAAAAAGGTGATCATACTAAGAAGGGGTCCGAGGGCTACTCCCACGGTGAATTTTTGATGGTTAAGTGTTCGGAAATGGCACGAAAGACTAACAAAACATTTTTTTTCGATAACTAACAGTAACGTAAGTTTTACACTTTTAGCTATTTCAATATCCTGAGAGGAGGCTAAACAGTCCTATTTTCACATCGTCTTATTCAAGGACTGGACAACGTTTTGACTTTTCAAGCTGCCTTGTTCCCGGTCGTTCTCTCTCCCCTCCGCGTCTCGCCTTTCTCGCGTGGGGTGATTTTCACGTGCGCTCGCGTTTCGCTCGCTCAACTATTCCTGAGGAAAAATGGGGACTACTCGTAGTCTACTGTTAATTAGAAACTTTAATTGCCGGGAATGAATTGCCAAAATGTCTCTGAGTAATCAATAATTAAAGAGCTTCTGAAGTGGAAGGGTTCTTTCTCCTAAAAGCGTTTTAAAAAATCGAATAAAAAATCTTGGCAGTAGGGAAATATAACGTACAACAACCCAATCCGCCCCGGGCGACTCCTTTCCCCCAGTTTCTCAGCTGCGAAAAATGTGAAAATGCTTATGACAAGGTTTGTCGTTTTCCAAACCTTATTTCATTAGAAAGACTTATAATAACGAAAATTATGTTTTGTATCTCGGTTTAGCTTGTCCAGAAGGCTGGGTTGAAAACGGAAATCAGTGCTACTTTATACTCCCCGAAACAAAGGAAGCATTTGTGCGGGGATTATACCTATGCAATCAACTCGGAGTAACCCTACCAATCATCAAATCAGCCGAGGAGAACGCCTTCCTTTTGAGTCTGATGGAGAGAAAAGGTGATCCACGGCTTGGAATGATAGCACCCAACGGCGACAACGTCTTTGAATGGCTCGACGGGACTGCAGTGGCCGATACCTTCTCTGCATGGAATACGGGTGAGCCTAATAACAGTGGTGGAATAGAGAAGTGTGCGCAGTTGCACGTCAGCGAAAGTGGAAAAGGAAAGTGGAATGACGCACCCTGTTCGAATTCCCGATTTATTGTTTGCCAGATGGAGAAGAAATGAGTCTGGCCCACAGCAGCCGTGAAGCTACTGAAATTGTCGGCTAGTCTTGCACGTAGAATTATAGTAAGCGATCATGATCAATACTCAGTGAGCCAAACAACAAAGAAATAAAGGTGTTGGGAGATATAACTTGTTGTAGACAATCATTTGTTTGTATTTTTGGATAATGAATTTAATTTAGCTGTCAGTATCTCAGCTGTCATCGCACCCAACATTACCATCCACCAATGCCAATGATCATTTAACTTAAGGGAGTAATTTTGGATATATCTCAGAGAACCCATACGCTGTCCTATTAAGCCAAATTTACGGGGGCACCCAACGACTTTTTTCTGTAAAATTGATGTACAACCGTAAACCTTTATCCCTGAAATTATTTTGTTAATTATCCCTTATACTCAAGAAAATTAAGGTATGGGTCTTCTATTTAATTCCTCAAAAACGGAGGGTGTGGTTTAACTTTTTAAGCTTTCAATATAGCGTAAAATAACTTATGGACAGACTACCTGGGTGTAACTTCAATAACTTTGAATTATGGTTGCAGTCATTAATTATCATGTGACCTATCCAGGCTATTTTTAGCTCAAAATTCTATTTGGCAAAATGGCACCACTTTTCATTACTTTCTGGAAGTTGCAGTGATCGTCATAGTGATGAGAATAATAGGTACATCATTTCTGTGGCCGGGCCTTTTAAGTTAATCTTTAAGAAAGGGACGAAATTCCGCGAAAACCGTTTGAGAGGGGACTGGGCACTAGCGCGAAATTCCTTTTATTTACACTTTCAATAACTTTTTCAACAAAGCCCAGGCACAGATGCTTAGTTGAGGGCTAGGGCTACAAAATAGAGTTACCAACTCTTACCCTCCAAAGATAGGAAGATGCAAACAAGCAAGAAAATCAAAATATACAAACAAAAAAACCTCTCCTACATACACTAATACATAAAGGATAGGTAAACATTGTATTTGAGCGAGAATTTCTGCAACGCAGTACTTCGATGGAAGAGTTACCCCCACCCCCGTATCCATTTTCCTTACTTGAGCCCGTCGCTTTTTCGTTTACGGGGTATTGGTCACAAATAAATCCCGGGGACGAGATTCATCCCGTTCTATTCACAGTAAATCTCCTTGTAAGTTCTGTCTTAATAAGCCCGGCCTCTCCGAGAATAAGCTCCCCCCATTTCGGGGGGATAATTAAGAAGTTTTGAAGCCCCCCCCCCCCTCTCTTTTAAGCCCTCTCTCCCTTTCCCCCTTAATATTCACAGCCATATTCATGAATGATGGACTGTACACTTTTGGCTGTTCATGGGGGGGACTGATTCGGTATTGGTTATTCTTCGATCCCATGTCGATCCTTAGCCTTTCATGTACCTTAGTGGTACTCATACTTAATTATAAATACGCGAGTTTAAAGAGAGAGTGTTTCGTCGTCAACCAGCGTCAAGCAAGGGATTGACATAATGAAAACGGCAGGAGTTATAAATCATAACATACAAGCTACTGAAATGCTTTTAAGCAATCCTGCTTTGATGAATAACCATCAAAATAACTTACAGGCAGCTGTATTAACCCGATTGGAAAGTGAGGAGTCCTCAGCCGCCATCTATGTCTGTTCACCCTTAGCCATAACCTTGCTTAAGGTCCAGAAAACATCAAATAGAGGATTCCTTTGTATTGTCGATACTCACTCAGTTCCTCAGGCGTTGGGTGGTAACGACAAAGGCATTTTGTTGGCCACGGAGTTCGACGAGACAACAAAGAACTCGAAATGCTCGTTAGTGTGTGAGTGGCTAAAAAAACGTACGTCTTTTTACGGCATTCCTGAAGAAACAAGGCAGAGTTTAATGAAAATCGAAAGGGATGAGCCCGCCTTGGAAGACTTTGAATGGGATGAATGGGATGAATCCGAGATCGAAGACGTATTAAACGACACCCCAAGAAAATATGGTCAAGTTAAGGAGGAAACGAAAGAAGAAAAGGTGACTAATACGGCAAAGCAAGATGTTTCTGAAGTAACTTCAGAGGCGTCACCTACAAAACCTGCTAGGGACGCTTTCGAAACGAAACCGAGCGATATGGAGGAAACGTTATGGCGAGGGTATGCCACTCAATTGGGCGTCACCAATCTTAAGTCATTTCAGATGGAGGCAATAAAAGCTTTTTCAATGGGACAAGACTGCCTTATAATCCAGCCAACGTCATCCGGTAAAAGTGTCTGTTTTCAAGTACCAGCCCTGATGAATAAAGACAAGTTTGTACTTGTTATCTCTCCAACAATCTCCTTAATGGAATCCCAAGTAAAATCACTGTGCCAAAAAGGCGTGGACGCCGCTTACATCGGCCCAGGACCGTGTGCCCGATCCGAGAGAATTTCAATCGTTTGATGAATAATGTTGGGAAACAGGACTTCCCCAAACTGGTTTATTGTACACCAGAGTATCTCATGGGTGTAGATGGAAAAAATGGTGTTGCCCATTCAATGCTGGCTGTGAGTCGTCACATTGCCCTAATAGCTATAGATGAATGCCACATGATATTTCAAAGAAGTGGAGAATTCAGGTAAATGTAGTAAATTTTTACCGTATAAAGTTTTGATATTGATTCCAAGGCTTGTTGGCAAAACCGCAGCCCGTCATGATACATCTACTTTTGCCTTTGGCAGTTATTTTCCCAGCGTTTGCCTTACAAGTATTTGTAACTTTTGGCCTTTTCAGGAAGTGCTTCACTGAGTTGATAGGCTTACATGAACTGTTCCCAGATACACCAATAATGGCACTTACTGCAACGCTTCTGGCAGACCAAATAAAGGAACTTAGGGACGGACCATTAGAAAAGTTATGGGGGGGGGGGGGGTTAATTTTGGAATATTTTTTTTATTTTGTGTCTTTCTGGTGAGTCGTTTCGGGGGGGGGTGAGCAAAACAACATCTCGCCCACAAAACACATAAGAGTTCTCTGCAGGCACTGCTGTGGAACAAAAAAAAAAGGGCGGTGGGGGCCGTATATTAAAAAAGGGGGGGGGGGGGGGGGGGGTTAATTTTCCAGCCGCAGGAATTTTTTTTCGTTATGAAATTCCTTGTATGAATTTTCATCAGGCCATGGCATGATTATTTTTTAGGATTAATTCGCGTGCATGAATGTTTTTTCATTTAATTTTCCCTTGCGCGAATATTTTTTTTGGTACTTCGGCCGCCCCCCCATAAGTTTTCTAATGGACCGCCCCCTATAACACATTACCTTAAAAACTCTGTCATAGTAAAGTCCACAGTAAACAGGCCCAATATCAAGTTATGTGTTGGTGATTATGACTTCAAAGTGGAAAAATCAACGAAACGAAAAAAAAAAGAAAACGGGTTTGGCGGAGGATGATGACAGGAAATCTAACCAGGACAAATGCAGAGAACGCACAGAGATCCAATCCACCTCAAAAGAGCCGAAAGGAGACAAAACATTAAACAAAAACGGTAATTATCGAGGCAGCTTGGCTGGACGGTTAAAACGCCAGCTTGATTTTTTAAAGTCGTTCAGTGGGCAGTCGTGGGCTTTTTTAAAATAGCTAACAAATTTGTCTTTTGTCAGTTGGGATTTTTTATATTGTTATGTTCGCTTTAATTATTTAGGACAGGAAAAGGGAAGTTAAAACAAAAAAAAATATGATCTGTTCAAATAAGGAACTAATTTGACTGAAATTACAGTTCTAGGCTTGATTTCGTGTTCAGGTGGGAACAACGTTTTATTTCCCTAAAAGTTGTCACACCAATTGATTTATTGCTTTTGCACTGAGTATTTGCGATATACTTAAAGATGCGGGTATAAAGCGTTGACCAACTCCTATAAAATTGGATTTTAGAGGCAGGCAAATCTTTCATTTTTTTTGGTTTATTTTACTTATGTTGGATTTGTTTAGCGCCACCTTCAAAATGGAAAAAGGTACTTGAAAAGATTATCGACATGGCCGACGGTCAGTACTGTATTGTCTTTATGGATTTCGTGGTGAACGTAAAGGAGGCACCCACTTGTATGGTCGAAGAACTAAAGCAGACTTGCCTAAAGTACCATGGCAAAGGAATGAACGAAGAAGAGAAACTACAGACAATGTCCAAGTTCAGGTGTGATTTGTGAAACAACACCCCTACTCAATTAGCAAGAAATAACAACAACAAAAACCACTACTACTACTACTACTACTACCACCACCACCACCACCACCACCACCACCACCACCACCACTACTACTACTACTACTACTACTACTACTACTAGTACTACTACTACTGCGACTGCGACTGTAACTGCGACTGCGACTACCACTGCCACTGCCACTGCCACTGCCACTGCCACTGCCACTACCACTACCACTACTACTACTGTGCGCGACGGATGGGTTTGCACTCTTCCCCCCACTTCCCNAACCATTTAAAATAAGGTCAATTAGCCATACTGTTATAATATAAAAAGCGCTCTCAATTGTCTTGTTTTCTAACATGGAGATATCATGGTGCGAAAAAAATAGAAGAGGACCATCATTCTTAGCTGATGGTCAGTAATTTTCTTACAGGAATCTCGAGAAGAGTTTCTCATAGCGTCCGAAGCGTACCAAGTAGGGACGCACGATGACCACGTAAATCTGGTGTGCAGGATTGGATGTCCAAGAACCCTTACTGGATGGATACAGGAGTTCGGCCGAGCAGGACGGAATGGGGAAATTGCTAATGGTAAGCTTTGACGGCTATTTTGAAACAATCTTGAGATTCGAAGAAAAAAGCAAAAAGCCGCTAAGGTACAAATATAGGACGCAGAAATTACATGTATGAGGCCACAAGCTTTTACCCTGTTCATAAGAACGCCTATCTTTCACTTGCTGGACTTAAATAAATAAAGAGCTTACCGCCATGGATCATGTGAGGATTCGATGAGCCATTAGCTCTAAGCCTTGGCGAAGTTAATATGTAAATATCAGTACAACAAATAGCGGAGTTCTGGCGTGCGAAACACCATGGGTAAGAAAATCTACCCATCCCAGAAAATTTGGTAATCACGTGACCGTACACCACCCGCCCTCAACAGTCTATTTGTTCAACTATTGCTTTTATATATAGTTTTTTTTACGTCTGAACAGGTATAATCTATTGTAACGAGTTCAGAGATGATCGGCGCCTCATAACGTGGCTCAGAGGCGTGGATTCAGTAGAAAAAGAGCAAATCATACGTCAATATGCAGAATCGTGGAGGTAAGCTAGATTACCTTTAAAATAGGAGTTTCTATTGACGAAGAAGAATGAATTATTAGATCTTTGGCACATATAGATATGGGACTTTTATTTCAAATATTAATATTAATTTTTTTAAACCAAACGAAAGTCTCCTTTGTGGGTCATAAGGTGTTTCATTGGAAATTAATCAGTTGCGTATCCAAACACGTCTTTTTTTCTTATAAATAAATAAGTATTCGGGAAGGGTAGCTATTATAACCTTATTTTTTGGTTTAAATCATTTAGATATGTTTACTGCACATTGACGGGTGAATACATGAGGGCCTTTCTTACGGGTAGGTTTGGAGAAGAACCAGACCTGCAACTAGAATACAAGGAAACTTGCTGTGAGTCATGTGATTCAAACGTAGACAATGATTACAACGTCAAAGATGATTTCCTGTTGCTGCTAGGGGTGATTCGTGAACTCAGAGAACACAGCAGTGACACAAAGGTGAGTGAAAAGGGGTCATCTCAGTTAATAACCCTTAAAAAAATAATATGGAATCTTCGCCGTCAGAGTGTGTGTGTCTGCATAAGTAAGAAACTCTTAAGCAATTCATGTGAATAGGCAGGCATTCATAAATTACAAAATGGACAAGTAGTTAGCTGTCTTAATTAAGCGCCCTTGAACCGATAATTTAAGGCCTTTATGATATGTTGTCAGTACAAACAAAAGATAATCCACAATTTCTTATTCAATTCTTATTCAATTTGTCTGAGTAACAACGGATACTCCCTGCTTCATGTCATATGCCTCCATAAAAAAGAAAAACAAATCAAACTAACAAACTAACAAAAACTGGCAAACCAGCAAATATTTCTATACGTTGCTTACGTTTATTATGTTTAAATCCACTTTTCGATCTATTTTAGATAATTAACTGGCTGAGAGGATCGGCAACAGCTTCTAAAGACGGCGGAATGCGGATATTGTCTCACGAGTCTCAATCATTCGGAAAAGGGATCGGGAAGAGCATTGCTGAATGGAGCAGAATCTTGCGTCAAGCCGTTGGAAAGGAAGTTTTGGATTTAATGTTCACAGAAAATAGGTTTCATGGAGTCACAAGAATATATAGAAAATACATACTTTCGGATAAAGGAAATAATTTCCTGAAAACCCCGATAGACATTTTCGTGAAGGGTCCCTACGACGAAGCAGCAACAGGGAAGACTGGTAGAGGCGAAAGTAGTAGATGCCGAGGGAAACAAACTGGAGAACAATGGAATCAGAGGATGACTATATGTATCCTGGCTTCGGCATCTCCCCCGAAAAATTTGTGTTTTGTGAGGACGTAAACAAATTTCAGAACGGAGACAATAACTTGGACATGTTAGTTAAGGACTGCGAACTTTCGTCCTCTCAAAGCCACTCGTCACCTCAAGTTATAGACGTGGATGGCCAGAAGACGGAGGTAATAGTAAGACGATTTGGCTGTGCGGTAGTTAAAGTCTGCTAAGCTCCAAATTGGGATTACACTATTTCCACATCACAAAGGATAAATCGTTGTAGGGTTCATAAGAACACTCACGGTCTTCAAAAGTCAGAGCAATGTCCGGTGAACATACCAGTTCATGTCAAGCCTAAAGCGGGAGATGACGGTAGAAGATGGGTGGGAAAATTAACTCTCCAAGAGGCAACCCCTTGTCACAGCCACGCCAAGCCAAGTCCCCGAAAGTTGCCGATCTCTGTTGTCAAAGATTTACAACAGGCAGTACTGTTGGACCCTTCCAAAAAGGCAAAGGATCTACAGAAAGGTACCCTATACGAATTATACCTGTAGGTATTTGAACCCAAACACCTTTATAAAGTACTTTAGTTACTGGACCCTTTAGAACACTTACCTGCCTAGGTGACGAACTGTTTTTTGATTGAACTTACAGGACACGGTATGTCTTATGTTCCTGTCGAAAGAAGTATTGTTGCTGCCAATATAGATAAAGTAAGGAGGGTGAGAAATGTCGCTTTAAAAGGTTCTAGAAGTGTTGACGGAGAAGTTCACTTGATGAGTAAAATCATCAATTTTTGAAAAGAAATCCAACAAGAGGTGGACAGCCGTTACACAAAGCATTTAAGTACAACTATAAGGTTTAGCAAATTCTGACATGATAAACGGGGTTTTCTTTTTAACCCGGGATATGACAGATATGACTGGCAAATACTCTGGCAGACTTACCATTCAAATAATTTCTCCGCTAATATATTTTTAACATTTTGATTTAATATAAATTAAATTATATGATCGCATAAAAATGAGGTATATCTCTTTAAAAAAAAAAAAAAGCTTTAAAAGTTTAAGAAGTAAATTATCATTACACAATTTCAAAGAAAAAATTGAAAAAAATAAAATAAAATAAAACAAAATAAACCTAATTTGAAACCCCTTCGAAAATAGTCTATTTTACAGACTATGAAAAGGCAGATGAAAAGCCAGACAGTCTCCACATTTATAAAACTCTGAGCAATGACGCAACTTATTATTATCATTTTTTTAGACTGTCCAAGCTATCCCAAGAAAAAGGATGCGTTAATTTTTTGACAAACTTCTAATAAAAGCAAACTTATCTATTCATTCACTTCTTTCTTTATTCAAATAACTAAAACCAAACTGCCCCACCTCTCCCGGCCAATTTCATTGTTCAAGTTTTGTTGTTGTTGTTGTTGTTGTCATTTTCGTTCCAAAAAAGACTTTCAGAATATTGGTATATGTCTATAACTATTTGTAATTTTCAACGGACGAGTCCACGAATGCAAAAATGGCAGAGAGAATCAAAGGTCTCTCGCTTCCCTATCCTATGAGGAAAACACCCTTCATATTTTCTGGAAACTTTCGAGCTGCTTTCTTTATGAATCCCCACCAGGCCCGTTTGTTTGCTTCAGCTGAACATTTGAACGTCGATTTGAGGTTTACTGGGAATAGCTACATGCCATACTCGATTAATGTAGTGACGTTTGACCTCGACACATTGCAGTGTGAGTATACTTATAGCTACATCTTCGGGTATACAAGGCGGTAACCGTGCTTTTGCATTGAAATGACATTTATTTGTTATTTCTTAATGCGTGTCAAAACTATTATTGCGTTGCTTTTTTAGTAGATTGGAATAAAGTTGTTGTTGTTGCTGACAAGAAACGATAACTAACCAGATACATATAAGGCTGATATTCTCTTAGTTTGCATACCATTATGACAAAAAATATATTACCTTACACTCGAAAAAACTATACACTGTAACAGTTAAATCCACCATTTCACATAGATCATAATGCATCTTGTTACCCTCCCCTCCCCCCAAATTTTGCAAGACCATTTTTTTCAATTTTTCCTGGGTATTACAGTCCTCCCAAATAAAAATTGAAGACAATGGGTATGCAAAATTGTGGGGGGGGGGGGGGCGGTAAACACGGTGCATTCTGGCCTATGTGAAAAAAGTGAATGGCCAAGCGACAAATGCATATAGGTATAACTGTAATGTTGGAAATATAAGCGTAATTCATTTCACGTTCTCTCTCTTCATGCAGGGACTCCCGTAGCACGATGTCTTTTAAACAAACAGAATGGCGAACCCCATGGGAAAGTTTTTAGTGAAAATTTCTCCTCAGTCAACCAACAATATGAAGATTTTAACAATGGAGAAAGGATCGAAGTGATTACGGTTGATTTTTCTGACGCCGAAGATAACGGACTCGAAGCGTCCCTCGGAAAGGATATGACGAGTAAAATTCTTCGTGGGTGTAAGGTGAACTTTATTAGTTTCATTGAAACCCAAATCAACTTTGTTTTCCCTTCACCGGTCTGACACGCCCGAGATAACGTGTAAACATAAAATTTAATTTTAGACATTCCAAACATATATCATTGCCACAACAATGTTAATGCAAAAATAAAATAAGTACAAAATTGTGGTCAATGTCCAACAAACATATAATTATGTTATATTATTTTCGTTAGGCAATTTTGAAGGACTAGGGTATCTTCAGTTAGCTCCATCATAGTCGAATTGTCTACTTCCAATCAGAAGTTCACTAGCATTTATTAATAAACAAATGAATTGTATTTTTCCTCGGAGAAAGAAACGAAAAAAAAAAAACGTAAAGAACAAACAAACAAACCAATTTTTTTTTTGGTTTTGTTTTGTTTTCAGGTACATTGGTCACGTTCATACAAGAGGGTAAGCCACTCTGTCTGCTCAAATAAAGATGAGATAACAACCTTCCAGCACCTGGCGTCGAAAATAGAAGCTGTAAAGAAGAAGGAAGAAGTTCTCCTGCTTTTCGACGTTTTGGCGGGTCAAAAGCACGTCAGCAGTGCGGCAGCTTTCATAACTGATAAAAAATTAAGAGAGGGAGCACCATTGATAACTAATTCCTCCTGGAAGAAAGCAAAGGCCTGGAAGGAATAGTGGACCAGAGAGAGGCATTTACGTAAGCACTGATTTTTCATTGATATGCTAAAACAAAAAATTTGTACACTTCCATCTGTACACGCCAACATCACTGGAAATTTTTAATTATCTTCATTTGCTCTGTTGGAAAAGGCCAGAAAAGCTTCATCTACAGACAGAGAATGAGGAAAGGCGTCACATTCTCTTTTAAATCTATTTTAGAGTTTAAAACATTTCAATTTCCTGTTTATTAGGCATGTTTACAACTGCTTTTACTCTCATGGATAAGGAGCAATAGGATCATGCTACTTCAAAGACGAAGTCAAAAGTACGTAGTTATTGCTAAAATTAGTTACTTTTCAGTGCTATTGGGATTACTGTAAAGTTGAATTCAGGATTTAGATGAAAGGACTTTTACACAAGACAAGTCAAGAAATTTATTATCTTATTGTTGCTTACAACTTGTTGGCACGAAGTACACATGGACAATTCACCTACCTGGAAAGCCGGGGGAATATGACATTGTCATGAATGGCTAAATAAATGGATTGCTGCCAAATAACGGACATTTTAATTATTCCAAGAAAACTATTAGACATGAAATTTACTGTTATGATAAGATTGTAAGATTTAGAAAATCAGTAAGAAAGCACACAGTGGCGTCTAATGTGTCCTAAACTAAATGAAATCAATGCTTTTTTTCCAGGTCTACCAGACGCTTTAAAAACCAAGCGAAAAAAAAAAAAAGAAAAGGTAAGATTGTTTATTTGGATTTGTTACTGTCAATTATAGTGATCTAACGAGGGAAACTGGTTGTCCTTATATAAAACTAAATTTAAGAACGTATTGAGTGAGAAAGTAGCGATGGAGACATATAAATGGAATTTCTTTATCATCGAAAATCAAGAAGTGGGGAATTTAGGCATGTCAGCTAAATAATTGGGCTCCGCACCTATGTCTATAGTGCATTGGATAATTTGTATACGATTACCCATGCCATGGAGTGCTTCTAATCCATTGCTCAGCAATGTGTTACGATGGAAATAGATAACTTTCGTTCTGTTAAAATTTGCTGTAGCTATAACCGCGAGGGCACAAGGCATAATCTGCAGTTAGGCATTCATTTTTGTTAATTCATTTGATGGTGGTTTGTGTGTTTTTCTTTTCAACAGACAACGGCTTGCTGATAAATAGACGAGTGAACGTAGAAACAGCTGATGCAGACGGGAACTGGGAGGGGAGGTTCGTGGGAACTATTATAAATTACAACAAGCAGACCAAGCAGAATACGATTTCTTTCGATGATGTCGATAGCACTCACAATATTGTTGTTCCGGGCGATGAAATTCCATCGGAGGACATTGAACTCTTGTAAATCCCCTATTTTTGTTCAGGCCTTGGTTCCTTATAAAAGTTTGTTGTTATATAAGCAAAGTATGGTTCTCTAGTGAATAAATATTAAGTAAATAAATGAAAAACCCAAAATTTAAAAAGAATATATACTCAAAACAATATTAACCCAGTTCAGACTGGGCATTTCTTGTTTCCTGCCACCGGGTTGAGCGGGGGGGGGAAGGGGGGACTCATGCACTTTTCGCCCGTTCCACCATTTACTAGTAAATAGCGAAGAGATACCAGTAAATGAAAATCTCGCTAACAAGTCAAGCCTTTTTGGCCCGTTCCACCATTTACTAGTAAATGAGAATTCGCTAAAAGGTCACGACTTTTTCGCCCCTTCCACAATTTACTAGTAAATAGTGTGAAGATACTAGTAAATGAAAATCTCGCTAAAAAGTCAAGCCTTTTTGGCCCGTTTTACCATTTATTAGTAAATGTAATTTATATACTAGTAAATGAAAATCTCGCTAAAAAGTCAAGCCTTTTTGGCCCGTTTTACCATTTATTAGTAAATG